TCACAGGGGGGGTTGGAGCACACCCTCTGCACCGTGCCAGTCTGGTTGGCACCCATGCTGGCAGAAGCAGTGGTGGCCGTGTTGGTGGTGCCAGTCTCATGTGTCTCACAGGGGGGGTTGGAACAGACCAGGGTAACGGTACCGGGCATATCCCCCCCAGCCTCAGCAGCACTGGGCTGCTCAGAGGTGGGGGACGCCAGGATGGAGACAGGCAGCTCCTGCACTGGCTGAGCCTCCACCCCACTAGGTGTAGTTATCAAGGTTACCTGGGTCGGCTGATTCACTGACTGCAAGGAAAACAGGACCAAAAACAGGCTGCAGTTCTATAGATTTCACCACCTTAGACATTTAGTGTAGGGAGAACGCAGGGCTAGTGTTTTATAGCCGACTCATACCAACTCATACCAGAGAACACAAATACAGTAACATCCAATAACATATGCTGTTAAAGGCAAGAAAATGACAGAAACAATGTCAAATTTAACAGTCTATAAAGATAACTATGTTAGAATCCTTAACTGAAAAACCTTAGGAATTACTCAAGAACTTATGTGACCAGTTCAGGATATTATGAAGCCATTCAACCAACTGAGCACATCAAATTAAGTAGCAAAATACCAGCTAACACAAATGGAAGCTACCATCAGTTTGGGTTTAACAAGGGATGCGAGTCAACTACATATTGAACCACCATTATATAATGCATCGCTTAAAATTATAATCTCAGATTGCATCTCCGACATTTTCAAAAGAGAATGAAAATAAGCAACCATAAGGAGTCGTACCTGCATGGTGATGGTCGGGGTGGGCAGTGGGGTCGCTGAGGTCAAGCTGGTCTGGGCGGCGGACACAGTGATGGCAGCCGGATTAATGACCTGGCTGGACAGCGTGGCAATAGTGCCTAGGGTGGTGATGGGCGTGGCAAGGGATGAATTGGCACTAGCGACACTGCCGCCTGCTAGGGAAGTGGAAACCGTGCCTGTCACTGTCCCGAGAGTTGTCACACCTGAAAGGCCAAGGGGGAAGAACCACGTTTATACCTAAACTCCCCGACTCCTCTAACAAACATAAAAACAAGCTTCAGAGCAGCAAAAGCTCTCCACAGACATAGCATATCGAAATCACTTTAAAAGTATTTTTATCCCCATTGTGATGCGATTTATTTGGTTGAATAAAAACAGAATCTTTACCAGTCGTTCCCTTGACGACAAGTGTGGTTACGGTTGGCTTGACAGCAGATACAGTTACCGGGGTTACAAGACGGACCCCACCCATCGGCACAGTTCGAAGAATAGTGCCTGGCTGCCCTGGAGGACCCTTCAAAACCACCTGAAAGTAGAAGGGGACACATTAAAAGTCAAACTAGGGACGTTTACAAAGGCTGATCATGAATCACTCCAATGTACAAGTTAAGCAGCATATGGGAAGATAATGAGATACATCTGCTAGATAAGAGACTGAAGTGTCAATGGAGAAAGTACAACATTTGTTCCAGCCAGCAGGAAATTACGCATGTTCACCGAGGCACGGAGATACGATTACGTTTCGGTGATGCCGTTTTTGAAGGGAGCTTTGGTGAAACCCAGAAAGCAGTCAGGACACCCAAGCATGAAGACACGCAGGAGACTTTGCTTTTTGTAAAAACAGATCATATAAATGAGCTTAAAACACGCCTTTATCAATTACATCAAATGCCAAAGTACACTGGATTGATATTTCAATACCACAAACTAGGGATGCACGATATCGGTCACCGATAATTATCGGCCGATAATGGCAATTATGACGTCACACCGATAATTTTGATAATGAAACATTCAACCGATAATGAAATCCGATAATTATGAACTTAATTTAGCCTCCAAAAATGGCTTACTTTTAAGAGCCTTGTTGTGCAATGAAGTATTAAATTTTTTTCTTTTCCTAAAAGCTTACCATTACACATTGACAATTTGTTGTAGGTTGGATGTTGGATTTGATGCCTGTCCACATTAATGTGAAAAAGTAGAAATAAATTCTGCTTTTGTAAAGTTACATTTGTTCTTGTTTTTCTGTACTCTTTTTATTAGGTCTTTTAATACAAATATCGGTTTGACATTATCGGCTATCGGCTGTAAGGAGGAGCAAATTATCGATTATCGGTATTGGTTGAAAAATGCATTATCGTGCATCACTACCACAACCCTCCAGAACTCCTTTTGTGGCATAGCATGGTATGCCAACTTGTGCAATTTAGCCTATTTATTTTCCAAAGAGAAGATGCCAAATTTGGGTACAAATGTAATGTGAAATTTTAAATTATTATTAAAAGAGAGGTAGCTCAGGGGGAAGAACCATTGTTTCACATCTCCAGGATGGGAAGGTAAAACCCCACCTCATTGGTTTGTCCAAAGGCACGAGTGACTGGCTAACTGGGGTCTCTAACACTGCAGAATGTATGTGCCCTGTGATAAACTGGCATCCCATCCAGGGTCAAAGACTGCCTGAGATAGGCTCCGGGGCCCACATGACCCCATACTGGAAGTTGGAATATGGATGTACTTTAAGTACCTGCGTCACCCCCTGCTGGCCAGGCCCAGTTCCCAGCTTCGGCATGGCAGTGATGATCTTTCCAGGAGTCCCAGTGCCAGCAGTCATCATCTTGGTGGTGATAATCGTGATGGGTGACTTGATCCCAGTGCTGCTAGTTACTCCTGCTGAAAGAGAGAAGCAGCTTTTAGCTTTAAGCCAGAAACCCCTGTAAATATGCACTAAGGAAACAGCGAGTCGTCAAGCAGCAGCGCTCACCTGTCGCGCCTGGTTGGGTCATGATGGCCGACATAGGAATGGTCTTAATGATGGTGGTGGTGCCTGGCTTGGTGGTGGTAGTGGGGGAGACGCTGCTGATCCCCAGAATGGTGGGCTTGCTCCCAGTACCACCGGCCTGCGTGGTGGTGATGATGGTAGTGGGCTTGCCGTCTGCTGAGGTCACCAGCTTGAGGATGGTCCCGGCTGGCAGAGGGCCCTTCGTCTGAACGGAGGGAAGAACAGGGTCAGAGTTCAAGGACGAGGTCAAGATGTAGTGCTTCACCCAGGCTGACTAGCCCCAATGACAGGAACATAAACAGCAATGTGTGAAGTCCCTGTAATGAATGGGGGAGGTGCCAAAAGGGAGACTGGCAGTCTGACAGCTACATTAATGTTCCTGGATCACTTTGTGTTAAAACTCTCTCCATTTGTCAGCGAGCTTTGTAAACAATTTTACTTTTAACAGCAGGTTAATCAGATATATGCTCACCTGTATGATCTGGGTCACAGGGCTGGTAGAAGCCTGACCAGTCACAGCCGAGGTCGGCACTGGCTTTGCCTGCACCATGGACATCACTTTTCCAATGTTAGAGATCTGAACAAAGAGAACAAGGCAGGAGGAGTCATTAGCAGCAACATCCAACCCAACACTACGTCAATTTCCAGTCCCACGCTCTACGTACCAGAGTCCCACCTCCTCCCATGGTGAGAGGGCTCTTCACCAGAGTGATGGTCTTGGTGACGCCACCCACCACAGTGGTGACGACCTGGGCTTGCTGGGCGACGGTGACAGTTCCAGACTTGTGAACGGTGATTATTGGGCGCGTGGGTGTGTTGGGCGTGGAGACGGCAGAGGTGCCAACCTGAGCTGCGGCGGTCTTCAGCATCCGGGTGGCGGGGTTGCTCACCTGGGGGCATGCATCGCATACATAGGCCTGATCACAGCCATTTATACACTGGGGGAAAAAAAATCCAGCTGCTATTTTTAAAACCAAAACATGTGTTCGGCAAATATGGAGAACTATTTGCTGGGGTTTATTTAAGACACTTGTAATCTGCTCGGCAATATTTTCAGCTCAATACATCTATTTCTGATATTCTGCCGTTACTTGACACCACAGCCAGAGATACTTGAGCCAGTTTAGTGGCACATGCAACGGAAAGCCAGACTCCGCCCCTCACTCTGCCTTAACATTCAGTCATCTTACAAAATTGCTCTGCTCTATGTGTCTCTGTGCATTACACAGCAGACCGTCACACACAGAAGGAAAAAAAAAAAAACATAATATGCAGTAATCTGCTCAAGTCAGCAGGAAGCACCGCTTTCACATTGTGATGGTGATTTTTTTTTGCTGACATCAACTGTCCAGCACAGCCTCCGTAGTTTCTGGTACCAAGTAATAAGGCCAGTGGTCCCAGAGCAGACCAAAACACGCGTGTAGGTAACACAGGACTAACACGCTTACCATGACAGGTGAGGCCACTTTGACCGTGGCTGGCAGTGTGGTAGATCCCGGGGTCACCGCCACCGTTTTGACAATGGTGGTGCCGGCTGGCACATTAAGCACGGTGGGTGCTGAGGAGGGCGGGATCTTCTGGGTGGCTGCCGCCGCTGCGGCGAGGGCGGCCATGCCACTCATCTGGGGACTGCTCCCAATTGGCTGGAAAAAAGGGCGACACACCAACAGACCGAATCACATACTTAGGACTTAGACTGCCGATCGTGATATGTAGCAGCGGTTCAAAGACATCGTCTAAGCAAGAGAAAATACTGAGCTGCAATCCCGTCCTCTTTCAATACCAAAATCAGAAATACAAGGAGGTAGTGCTGGGCGGTATACTGGTTCATAACGAAAACCGTTTTTTATTATTGTTATGAAATTAATTTTTCTAATACCCCAACACCGGTTTAAATAGGCTACACAACAACCGGAAAGTGTCGCAGCTGGAAACTGTTTAAGGGGGACCCTTTTCACTGCTGCACTGCTAAAAATGTACTGCAAAAGATCAGAAACGGAAGATATAGCTGACGCTGGAGTTGAGGATAATGGGACACTGGGGTTGTCAAAAAAAATCGATTCTCAGATACTAATCGATATAAAAAATTAGTATCTGATTAGAAACTCATTTTCACCATTATTAATACCAAAAGTACGGTTTTTCGCCTCATTCGCCACACTTCACACAGCACCACTACAGTGCAGGCACACGTGCATGCACACACACGCACACACTCGCACGGCCCCTCCCCTCCTCTGATCGCATTTGCGCTGGTTAACACAAACACACCGAGCTGGCCGAACATGGCATATGCTGCAGTTGAAGGCACTGAGCAAGCTGCTTTAGTAAAGGGAAAAAAAAAAAAACGCAAAAGTGTCGTTTGGAATTATTTTGCAGACGAGTATGGAAAGGCTAAGGATGTGGATAAGCCTGTATGCAAACAGTGCTGCAAAGTTGTGGGGACAAAGTCAAGTAGCACGTCAAACCTGGCGAAGCATCTTAAAGACCAACATCCTGGTCATTATGAGAAATTTCGCAAGGTCAGTAAAGCTCACGTTCCAGCAACACTGAACTATTACACACTTATCAAAAATGTTAACATGGCCTGCGCACACCTTAACATTAGCCGTTTATAAGCAGTTAGCCAACAAACACGTTAGTCGTATGTTATTAAGGTGGCGGATAGGTGCAATGGCTACTAATAAAATATAGTTAATGTGGGAACAATGCAAAAACGTAAAAGAAAAATATGTCCTGTAAAATGTGGTAAACACCCAGTCACACTAAAAATAAATAAATAAATATCATCATACACCGTGAAACCGATATGAAAAAATACCATGGTATCAATTTTTGGTCATACCGGCCAGCTCTACAAGGAGGACACTGGCCGTCGCCACAGAAAGTTGAAACAGGAAAAAGTGCATTTCCAAAAATGCAAGTACTGCATACCGTTCCTTGAGTGCTCTGTGCAGGGACAACCATGCGGACACCAGCGGGGAGCGATGTCACAGTGACAGGAGATTTACCAGCCTGACTGGCAGGTCGCACAGTGACAATAGAAGTTCCGGCACTGGAATGGGGTGCCGCAACCTTCAGGATGGCTGAGGAGCACAAGACAGACCATCAGTAGCAAAGGGGGGGAAGGTTTTATCAGGTCAAGCAAGCCCAAAACCATCTCATGAGGAGCTGGAAGAGAAGGGGGCACATACCAGGGCCACGGGCCGTGGAGGCGGCCAGGGGGCTGCCCGGCATGGAGCTCGTGGGCGAAGCCACCTGAGGCACGAGCGTGATGCCAGTGAGCGGGAGGTTCTGTGAGGAGGGAGCGGCGGCGGCCGGTGCTGGACTCTTGGGGGAGTTACTGGGCAGAGACGGCGTGGGGTTGAGGGTCGGCGACGTGGCAGCCACGGCAGCTGGGATGTCGTACTTCTGCAGCTGCAGCAGGTAGGTGTCGGCCGTGGACACGGGACCCCAGCTCACCTCCAGGGAGTTGGTGTTAGCGCGGACAAGCTGCACACGCGATGGCGCCGGGGGCTTCTCTGTGACCGACACGAGCACAGCCCTTGTTGGTGCCTTACGAACGGACCCAGCCAGGTTTCACTCTTCCGCTAGTGCAACTGTAAAACTCACCAGTTTCCAAGTACCAGAGGTCTTTGCAGCAGACCTGGTTGTTCCAGGCCTTGCGGTAGCCATCGCGGCCACTCCAGACATACAGCCGGGAGTTGATAGCGACAGAACAGTGTCCTGCGCGGGCCCTTGGAATGTTGTCCTCAAGAGTGTCCATCAAAACAGTCTCCCAGCACATAGAGTCTGGAAATCCAGAGCATATAAATCATCATCATGTGATATATAACACATCCCGTGAAATTTGTTGAGCATACAGTGTTATCTACAGCAATCCAAAGGCTAGTCTCCAGTCTCTAAAGTGCGTTTGTACTAAATATTTTTTAAATTAGGCAAACAAACATTTCAGCTGGAAATACAACTAAGAAAACCAAAACTGTGCCAAAACTGATAAGCATTTCCAGTGATTTGTGATCCATCACATTAACTCCTAGACTAACATCTATGATTTTAAACGGAAAGAGAGGAGTGCACAGCGAGAGTGTGAGAGCGTAAAAGGAGAGAGAGAGGAGAGTACACAGCGAGAGAGAGAGAGAGCGCAAAAGGAGAGTGAGAGGAGAGTACACAGCGAGAGAGAGAGAGAGAGAGAGAGAGAGAGAGAGAGCGCACAGCGGGAGACAGAGAGAGAGAGAGAGAGAGACTTACCCAGATTCAGGCAGGCCAGTGTGTTAGTGCACTTCCATTCCTTTTCATGTGTGGCCACCTTTACGTCGTCCATGACCAGGGGCACCCAGCCCCCAAACACATACATTCTGCAGGGACAGAAGGAATAGCTGAAATCCTTCCATGAGGCCGCCCTTCCAGGAGAACCCCAGCTGGGAGAAAACACTCACTTGTTGGTGATGGTGGTGGCAGAGTGCAAGCTGCGGGGCAGGGGGGCTGTACCATTCACTGAGGGCTTGTTCCAGGTGAGTGTGTCTGAAATAAATGCAAGACATGAGTAAACAGTAGCTAAACAGCAGAGGGTGTATGATGAAGGCATCTAAACTGTTTATTTCCTGATATAAACCATTTCTAAAGGTCACATGGAAAGATTTTGCAAATTTCCATAAGAACCATTTTGCAGATTTGCTGCATAAACTTCCTCTGACAGCCACTTGACTTGGAATGTAACAAAAAAATCCAGAGAAAGTATCTTATATACCTATATAGGGCACATCACACTTTAGTCAGTCATGTTTTGAGCTTGTCCTAATTTCCACTTTCCAAAAAATCCTCCAAGATTCATATTTCTTCCCCTCAGTCTAACATTACATAAGAATACGACCAATTGCTGTAGATTCCACTGGGAGGGCTTAGCAAATAGCAGAACATAAAAAAAAATCTGAGAAAGGGTGTACTTTTAAAATAATTGTTTACCTGTCATTAGGCTTCATGACTCAACCTCTAAGATACATGCTGCTGTACCTGGCAACTTGTATAATCAAATAACAATGACTCCATATGCAGCAGGTTCCAGAATTGTCCATTGTAGGGATGGCGGGGGTCTCGTTAAGTTGATAAGCTTCCAGTGTTGACTATCAAGATGGCTGGAAAACCTGAAGTTCCCTTTCATGCTGCCCTAGCCTCCTACACCTATCCAGAGTTAAAATGCCAACCCACTGCCTTTATCAGTCCCCTCACCTATGTCAAGGGTCCAAAGATCCCCCAGGCGGCAGCCGCTCATGCCGCCATAGATGACCAATCGGGACTTCTTGTTGCTTCTGTCTGTGTAGACCACAGCAGTGTGGCTCTCGCGTGGAGGCGGTAACACGCCATAGGTGATGGGAATGTCCCAACCGGCCACATTAGAGCCTGGCCGCAGCTCCAGAATATACAGGTCATTCAGATACCTGGGTATACGAGAAGGTCAGTGACTCTGCCATTTTAATACTAAGAGGAAGTCGCAACAGTCAAGAATATGACTCTCTTTGCTATACCCCCCAACCCCCACCCCTTGTCCTACATCACCTGGGAATGTTGTTTTTGGGATCCTCACTGTCATTGGCCAGCCCACCAAAAAGGTAGCACTTGTTTCCCACCAGTGAGAAGCTGTGTCCAAGACGGGGGCATGGAGGGGGGCCATTTTTGGGAGCTTTAGGCTTCAGTTTTTTCCACTCCCAACGACTGGCCTAGTCATGGGTAGAGTAGGAACAGACATATTTTCAAAACCAACCATCCAATAGCCAAATTTATACATGTAAACACATTTTCTTACCATTAAAAAATCATTGTGAATGACATTAATAAAAAGAGCTAATATGAATTCTTATCTGTAACATATGAAGCAATGTTACCAATGACTTCTGAGTCATGGCAATTATCCTTTCAGTATGACTTTGGATCCCACTAGTCTGACTACAAATGCTCAGTGTTGGGGGTTTAAAAAATAATTAAATACTACATTAGATCTCTTGTCTCTACCACTGTTCCTAAAGCACACAGGAGACAAATGTTGTGGCATAGCTGTAATATACAGTGTTATCCCAGATCACTATAGTCTGGCATTTACCTGCATCAATTATAAAAAATAAATCACAAAGGAGCTGTAAACTCTTACCTGTAGCTCATAGAGATCGTTGCTGTACTTGCCATATTCCACCATTCCTCCAAACACCAGCAGCCGTGTTCCATCGCACACAAATCCATAAGCAGCGCAGCCTGGTGGGATGTCACCACGCACTGCTGGTATGAACCACTGGTTTGTGGCTGCAGAGGACAGAGAAAGTGATTTTAGGACATCGGTATACACACTTCACAACACTAGAGAAAATAAGAGATGCACATAACCAAATTGATCCTGGGTAATTTGATTGGGGCTTAATGCTAGTTGTACAGTCAATTTTAAGTTCAAGACTTCAAATTAACAAAAAGTGTACCCATAATATACAGCTGTGTTAACACTGGGGCCAAAACAGGAAACAAGGCTTAAATACATTTTTGTGATCATTTCAGCAGCAGCAAATGCAAGGACCGAGCCAAGTAGTAACATACCAAGCTAAGAATAATTCCTCTTATAACAGTGCTCCTGTTAAAACAACAAAGTTAATATACTGCAGTGGAGCAGTAGAATGTACATTAGTGATTTCATTACTAGTTCAGAAATGTTTCTTCTTTCCTCAAAGGACTCTGATGAGGAAAAAAAATGGACAGCAGTCTATTGAGCTGTGAGATGATTAAAGAAAATTAAAGGCAAAGACAGTATTGTAAATGAATGTTAATGTAAACTCACAATGCCCCTTACCATTTTCTTAGCATCAGCAATTTAATCGTAGAAGAAAGCAGCCTTTAAATGTCACCAACTAGACGGTTTGGCGTGCACAACTACTTTCAGACTCAGACAGAATTATAATTTGAAGTAGTCCGTAACACGGAGGTGACTATTCTCCATGCCAGGAGAGTCACGCCTGACTATCATTTTCAGGTTTCGCGCCCACCACCTTCACATGGTATTAGTAAACAAACCGCGTGCGTCGCGCGCGCACATTAACCCTGAACGCCTTCGTAAAAAGCTCACGGCGGCGTCTCTATCTTCCTACGTAACAACGACGTCAAAGTTCAATTCGAATTGCACTAGTCTCCTCCACGAGAAAAGTGTGTATTCGTCATAAACCTTTCTAAAACGATTAAACATCCGAATGCAGAAATATTCAAGACTCCGCTCGTCTTATCAGTTACATATTGCGATCCGGTTATTAAACATCATAAATAAATACTGTACTGAAAAAGATGACCTGTGATATTTAGTTGAACGCGGTGCTATAGAATTTAGCTTTGAAATGAGATGGCCTTCATGACCGACCCTATACTTTAAACTACTGCTGTATTTTAACATTTCAATACAGGCATCTATCTGGTCGTTCTGTAATATCATGGTTGCTCGTACATAAGTTTTTATCACCTTGTAAATTGTCTATACGGTTTGCAAACTACCCCCAACGCGTTTGATGCAGCTAATTCTTGGTTTATAATGGAATAATGTACATTTGCCATAAGATTTCTTGCGTGAGCGCGAGTCTGGCAGCGTAACACGCCAAATATGTGTGTTGGCAACCTTGGTAGTATGTTAGAATATCTTTAGGTAATGTCTGAAAATAATTATTTTTTATGCGTCATATCCACTTGACCGCTATTATAATGTTTAAAGATTTAGGGAATTTGAATATGCTATAACTGATATTTTAAAGCTGTCAAATGACGTCTACGATTAATAAAGAAATGTATGAACTTTCATTCATCAATTCACAGCCATATTCAACTTGGCTAAACCATAAACTACAGACGAGGCATGACTAATCCTAATTAGAATTACTCATCTATAATCAATAATTAGTTGTTATAGTTTATTAGGTTACTGGAAATTGTAATAATAAATAAACTGCTTTGTACGGGGCAAAGCAGTCAACGCCGAAGTCGCCCATTTTATTTTAACCCGCCATTTTTCTTTGTATTTCCCCCCACTTTCGAGCAGCCCCGGGGTCCCTCGTGTTACGGGTAAACACAGTTTAACAAATTCAATACTTCTAACAGTGGGTACAGAACATGCAGAGACAGCATATCATCTGGAATGACGGACTGAGCCGCCGGCGGAACTCGGCGGTCCACGCGCCGCGGGTCCGAATAGCGCCGAACCGTCAGCCAATAGCGGCCTCGGCTTTGTTTTGAGGCATAGCCAGCTGATACCGCTGCGCGCACTCGGAGTCGACCGATCGGGAGCGCCGGGCTGGCGCAACGCGTGCCCAGTCCGCCGGAGCGCACGGGCTACACCACAAGGCGGCTCGGTTTCTGCGTGCCTGGTGACAGCATTAAGTAAAAGGCTCGCAGAAGCATAGGCTTCATATACACGGCACAGCTGATGAACACATATAGCTGATGGTATACCAAGTGCCCGCACTCGCTAGCTAACTCGTTTAAAGCTGAAATGTTAATCGCCATTAACAAAAAACCCAGTCTTACCTGTGTTATAGACGTGCAGCTCGTCCACGATCCCTTCATTGCCTCCCCCGAAAACAACCATCAGTTCCTTAATAGCGACAGCTCTGTGGCCGTGTCGGGGTCGAGGGACGGGGCCAGACCAGCCCAACACCCGCTTCCACCGTGGCTGCAGAACCGAGCCAGTGGTCCCAGACACCGTGGAACCAGGTGAAGACATTTCGGCTTAAAAAAAGAAAAAAAAACTCCGGTGCTAAAAGGTTTCAAATAGACGTTTAGAAGAATGATACCGTTAGCTAGTTTAGCAATCTAGCCTGAGGAGCAAATTTCACTGTAGCGAACCAACAAAACCAGAGAAAATAAGATCAAATTCAGCTGTCGCTTTTACTCCATGCAAAAACAAAACGCAGATACTAGGTAGCTAAAAGTGTTTTTGTGCATAATAGTGCAGCGTACTATCTTGATGTGGTAAATATCAATACGTCCAATCCCATTCAGGAATATGTAAAATCCATGGAAGCCGCCATTTTATTCAGCAGTAGACGCTTTGCAAGAGAGAGAAAAAGCCGGCTAGTGAAGAAGTAGGATCCAGGCTCATTGGTAGATAGAATCATAAACATCTAGTGCCACTGTCTGTCAGCCAAGTCTATGTTTTTTCTTGTCTTCAAAAAAGCCGCCTGATCATTTTATCATTCAGTTAGAGCCCACCAGAAGCAAAGCAGTGCCACTCCATGGGAGCCGCCATCTTGTAACAACCAAACAAACCTGCGCCAGGCTAAAAAATGGCGGAGCTAAATGATGTAAAAAAATTCAAAACCTTTCGTGGCTTCATTTGTACGCTGATGTTTAAAAATCGTAGCGGCCACGTACTGAAATTGCAAATAAGATTGACGATTGGCGGTTATGTTATGTGAAGGGTTTACAGCGCACTCAACAGCTCCAAAAACAACCCACTCAATTTTACTAGGTGCCTAGCCTAGCTAGCTGCCGCAGAAGGCGATTTTCATGCCTGTCTGGGAGTCGCCATATTGCCAAACAATCCACAACACACAATCCCCTCCTCTCAGAGCAAGAGGGCTTAGCTAACAGTGGGCGGTCTCCCTGTTGTTCAAAGATACTTAGCTAGCATACATTTTCCCAATGCAAAGTGCCGTCATATACTATCAAGCAATATCATGAATTTATGGTCGTTCCTGCTACGCTCGTTACTAACCACCTAACAGTCTTTGAAAAATGGTGAAAACCAACAATTCAAGCTAACTAAGCTGTTACAAAGTGCTACTCGCTAGCATCATGCAGCCAGTTAACAGTATAAGGGTTCAGTGATACATATACGCATCGTGCAAAAGAGCAGTTTTATATTTGTGTGATATGGTCAGCGATTTAATGACATCGACACATTAGTAAGCACTGACTGCATGCCGGAATGAAGCCAAGGCTTAAAATATGTTCTATTCATGCTCTTTCGATGGAAGCAGCCATCTTGCTGACTACTTCTCCCTCAAAAAAAATGGCGGACGTAACGTTTTCCGTAACAAAAAGGCGTAAAATGACAAAACGTGTAGTTGCCACAGCGCAAGATACTTACTCTTTTGCCTTGTATTTTAGCAAAATATCTCGAGGGTTGGACCTTGTGAAATTAACCCCAGTGATTTTGGTTAGGTTGGGAGAAGCTAAGCCCTCTCATGCCTTCCAGGAAGCCACCATCTTCTTGAAACAAAAAATGGCTGGTTAGCTACATTAGCTTAGCACCCACTGTCGCCGCAGCCCTCAACGCAAATGGTGGACAAATAGTGCCGCCGTATAGCTTACGTTAACTTCAATAGTTACGACAACTTTGGTCGCTCTGTTGCAAACGTATTACTTGCATCCAGATAATATTTCTGCCAAATTCTGTGGAAGATTTTATCTTGTAAAATGTGCTATAGTTACTTTAAATAAATACAAAAGGTTTCCAAATAAAAATGACAAAAGCCCCGTTCTCTACTTATGTTTTCATTGCGACTGTTTTTGTTTCTAGTCGGTAGTCTGTTTTTTCTTTCAAAAATGTTTTTTTTAATTGTAAATGTAAATTTATTGCAACATGGTATTTTATATTAATATTCCGACATAAACAGATTTTTTTGGGGTTAACGACTGGTCAGTAACCCTCATAATATTATAAATTGCTGAACACTATCAGCATTTTAAAACCGCGTTTAATTAATCGCATTCAGACCTTAACATCCCGTGATGTTGACGTAGTTAATTTTCGCAAAACGTTTTTATAACAATTTGATATACGTTTTATTAGAGATAATTTCTCTTATTCGCACTTGGAAAATTAAGCTGTAACAGGTGCTACGAGGAATTTGAAACCAGGGAATTTAACCAATTAACTTATGTTTCAACGAAGATGTAAGGGAACATATACTATAGGGGAAACCATATATTTTCCTAAAACAATTTTATTGGGGTGTGATTGTTACATAATGTAGTTATTTTACATATTAAAAATGAATTATGTTTATTTAGTGGTGGATTCGTGGTTAGCGCTGTGACCTCATACTTCCAGGGACTGAAATCTCATCTCTGCTCAGTATGCAGCTTTTGCATGTTCTTCCTTTATTTCCAGTTTCCCCCTGAAGTCGTGTAGTTACGCTAATTAGTGTCTCTAAATTCTCCCTAGCGTGTGCATCGTGCATCTAAATACCACTACTCTGGAGCTGCATACTATTCACCCTGTGCTGCCTGGGATGATCTCCTGGCACCCTTTCCAGAATTAACAGTCAGAAGATGGATGTTTATTGCCAGTGTATTTAAGTCTGACATTATCTTTTTTTTAAGTTTTATTAACACAAACACCTCGAAAAACAAAAATCTCCAGTACCTGCAATATATAAAATTCAGACAAGAAATATGATCAATCACTCAAGAAACAAGGCGTAACCTAGCTGATTTTAAAAATGAATTAGTTTCACAGAAACAGGCTTGGCATATTGAATACATTCTATATATGACAGAAACTGACAATTCTAAGAAATATATGAGTAACATGACTTATCTAACCTTATTTAAAATACATTTTTAAAAATGGTCATTGTGCTATTTCTACATTAGAGATACAGTATATGAAAGCTCCTTCAGTACACTTTAACATTTGACATGACCCAAAAAGTTGCACTGATCTTGCATACATCCATAGCTCTGCCACCTTACATAGCAAATCATTTCCTTGTTTACTACTTTTGCTTTGAGAAATTAATGATTTATGTGGGTATACTGTCAAAACCAGTATCATGCTTTTGAGAAATATACTGATAGAGTAAAGATTTAAAAAGAAAGTTCAAGACAATGGTATGGAATTTAAAAGCTATTTTAATATATCTGCTTTGTATTGCTGATATCAAGTGGAATGCTAACACTAAGGGAATTTAAAACAATCTTGTTTTAACAGCTTCTACTATGATCATTAAGAATGTTTAATCAAGTGTGACTGTTACACAAATAAAAAGATTCCATATAAAGTATCCCTCGTACAGCACTGTAATTTTTGGTCAACTGGAGGAAACATGTTCTGGTTCAGTAGCAACAATACACACCATTCCAGATATCAAAAGTTTTCTGCAGCCCTTCATGAACCACTGCTTCTAACACCTGACATGTATTACAGATTTAAATAACAACAATCCAACGTATTACATTGATTACTAAATACAGTGCATTCATATGCAAAATACTACCAACTTAGTGCCATATAGAAACATGGCTCATACAATATAACATCCTGTAAACAATTCTGGTAATGAGAACTTCATCTGAAGAGAGATCTTCAATCATACATATACAGATTTATCATTGAACTTACAAATATGTAAATAAAAACTGGTAGCAAAGGTACTGCAGTTTCTGATAAGTGGAACAAATAAGTGGAAAAGATTTGTTTAAAAAATAAAAAATAAATAAAAAGTCACTTGTAGTTTCAAAAATGCATTTTCAAAATGTTATAATGAAATACATTTTACATAAAGAAAATCAACCTCAATCAAAAAGATCTAAATCGGGAGACAGAATCTATGCTTACTACTTACCTATCACAGTAACATGTAACTGTCGGGACATATTTAGAAGTAGCCCCACTGTTCAATTTAGAAATGCAAATCTGAAAGAGCACTTTCATGTATGGTAATTGTCCACGTTTAAAAAGGCCTGTTTTCAGGTGGTCGACCGGCCTCCGCATACGAACTTTCAAACTCATCACTCTCCTCTGGTCCTCGGCTCTGCCCGCACGTGCCATCTGTGAAGAGGACAGGAATGTGATTAACAGAATACCAAATACGGTGACCATCAGCTAAGGACAGGCCAAAAGGTATGTAAAATATTCCTGTGCCTTTAGAATCATTGAAAGAATGGATATGTCACATGAAATATCCAAAGTTAGGTTAAATGTTTATCTTTTTTTTACGTCAAAAACAAGAGCGCAGATTTTTCTTTGGGAGAGACAAAACTTCATGATACCTCAGAATGCTGTAATGTTTTGAAAAAATGTAGCATGCACATCTTTACAGCAGTGGTTCAACCCAGGCTACAGGCCTGCTGCCAAACCACATTTTTAATCTGTTCCACCATCTGTGCATCCAACTGCACTAGTTTACTACTCATCAAGCACCAGGCTACGTAGGCCACCATCCATTTATAGCACTTCAGTGTTAGAGGGAATATAATTGCAAATGCCTAGGAAACAAGCAAATTATGAAAGCCATATTTTGGAAGGAATAGTTCAGATTTGATTTACTGGCATGACAGCTACTTCCTTTCACGCATTCATCTATACATGTACAGCATATCTTTGCAATACGATTTATTTGAAGTATCCCTATCAGGTCTGAATGTGCCCAACAGCCAGAGGTAGAAAAGTATCAACTTGGCCAATTTTCTTTTGTTATTTTGTTAGTAGTAATATCCATGGCATTTGGTAAATCAGTGTCTTAGCTTCTATAGTCCAAACAAAATGAGCATTAAATGGTCACTGGTAGGACATACACAAGTTTACAGATTTTGTTCCATTTGCAATTTTGATCTGTTAATGACACAATTCAGATTTTTAACATACATCTTAGCTATGGACCATTGTATGAATTTTACTTACATTGTATGAATTTTCCTGAATTCAAGCAGTCTCCAAAATAAAATTATCAGAACTGTTAGTGTGCCTTGCATCTGTTCTGATTTAAACACAGTATATTTATGCAGAAAACAGAAGTCTTACCATCAGACGAAAGGAGGTCAGACATTGGAATCTTTCCCTCCTCATAGAGTGCCATCTTCTGGACAAAACGTTGTTTGACAGAATTTACAACAATCCTTTTACTGTCATTGCCTGGAGAAGGGGGGGTGGGTGGGGGTCGTGGGGGTGGACACTTATCAAAAGGTTGCCAACCAGTAATTTATATATTATAAGATATACAGACATGCTTCTCTTTTACCTGTCAGAGATCTTGCTTGTGCAGCACTAGCCTGCGTGGACCTCAATAAGCTCCCAGCTTCCAGCTGACAGTCCTGGCAAAGAGAAGGAGACTGGACAGCTCTACTCTGACAAAATGATGCCTGAGCAGAGGCACTGTACTGGGAGTAGCCTTGACTCTCATCAGACTCACAAGGGACCTGGAAGGAGGGTGGCCGAGGTCCCCAACTTTCACTGGTCGTCCCTGATGTTTGTCCCTGTGAGCAAAGTGTTTTAGGCTGAGGCAGGCCGGAGTGTTGATTTGGGAGGCAGTGATAAGTGTCCTCTTGGGGTTCCAACTTCAGTTCTTGTTCAGTGAGGGATGCCAGGGATTGGTCAACAGAAGCAGAGGGAGGGGCAGTAGGAGGAGAGTGATGTCTGGGGACTGAGTGGATGCAAGGTTTGGGAGACCTCTGCGTGGCCACCTCTTGTACTGTACTAATTTCTTGAATCCTTTCAAATACCTGAAGAACAAAACAAGCAATGCAGAAATAATTACAAGAAGGAAAGACAAAGAATAGCAATAATATAAGACGCTGATATATTTACACCAACAAAGGTAAACGTCAGACTTCGTCATGCTTCTTTTCCAGATCTTCCCCATATAAAAATTGAACTTGAGTGATTTATGAAATAGTGTTCAGTAGCTGCTCATATCCATCATATTTCAGTAAACAGTATAAGGCTTCTGCTCAAGATGCAGGAGCTCATCTAATCGTTTATCTGGCCTGACAGTTCACTACTCACTTCGGCCATCGGGGGGCGCTTCTTTTTCCTACGGTCCAGACAGCGGCATGCCAACGACGAGATGTCCAAAGCCTCCAAAGGGCCTGGCTTATCCGCAGGTGCAATTTGGGGATCCAAGTGTTTCTTCCAGATGTGTGTTGCAGCTTCTCCCTCTTCCTCACACTCCATAACCAAATCTCTCTATTGAGGAAAACGAACAATGTGCTGCATGAAACCATAATATACCTCACTGCTTCACTCTTCATAAAGTGCAAATTTTACACCAGCAGCTTTAAAAACAAACATGTAGAGGACAAACAAGCTTGTTATCATCTGAAATAGCCAGGGGCGCTGTAATGCACGGCTTTCCTGAGCTGAGGCCTACTAGCCACTGCTAAAAAGCCCCCTTTTTCATCACTCCTCACCTCACCTACACCCCCCCCCACCCCGCCCCACCACACACACACACACACACACAGATCTGTACTCCTATCTTTGTGGGGAGTGTCCCCCACATAACCCGAATCCCAACAATGACAACCTATAACCTATACTCAATCCTACCCTTAACCATAAGTAACCCAACAAAGACTTCTGGCATTTTTAGTTTTTTGATTGCAGTCACAGATTTTTAGATAATTGAACGTTCGCTCCCCACAATGTAATGTATACATGGATCACACATACACACACACCCACTATAATAGAAAATAGTGGGGGGGTGGGGCTTCTGACAACTCAAATAGCTCAGGGGCTTCTGGAAATAGCAGTCACATAGTGAAGCTAATTTTCTCATTACCAGATACAAGGTTCGAGACTGGCTGTCTACTTCCATTGCCCTGCGACCAGTCAGTACTTCCAGTAAAACCTGAGGAATAGAAGAAGCAGAATATATATGCAGGCCTCCAGTTTAACATTCTCCAGAGACTGACTGCTTTCACTGAAATTTGCACTTTCGCTCTCACCACGCCAAAGCTGTAGGTGTCGATCCACAGTCCCAGCTCGCCCCCTTTGACGTACTCATCCGGCAGGTAAGCCAGTGTCCCGCGCACTGTTTTGGTTTGAGCCACAGTGGTGGTTCTGATGGATTTCCCATGCGGACTATGGCAGAACCGAGCCAATCCAAAGTCCCCCAGCTTTGCCTCCATATGCTCCCCTAAGAGGATATTTGAGCTGCGAAGAGGAAACCAGGAGATAAAATGCTCTGCATGAGAAGACAGAAGTCACTCAACTGTAGCACTACTCGTGTTGTGTACCTGTGACAGAAGCGACTTAAGGTGAAATTTAAACCTCACAATAAATAAAGTCACCTGTAAAGAACTGTGAGAAATCAGTAACAAGCAAGATATATGCCAGCATATTGTTTCCAAGGCTTTTATTAGTTGTTTAGACAGAAATTTGAGAATGCTGAGTGATCACCAATCTGCACATTATAAGGACAAAGAACATCCGTCTTTCCCCTCTGGGGGGCAGGTATTCCAATGTTAAGATCATTCCTCTTATCCTAAGCCCTGGGATATTACTCAACAGCTAGCTGTCCAAAGAATGAGTCACCTCTTAATATCTCCATGAATGAGCTGTGGGTTGCTGTTGTGTAAGAACTGGATGGCTTTAGCTGACCCAAGCAACACATTGACACGCTGTGGCCAGGAGAGGGCAGCATTATTCTGAAAAAAATATATATATACACATCTGCATTCAATAAACAATTGAACACAAAATAAAAAAATATATTCTATAAAAAAATATTAAAAGACAGCAATGGTGAATTAATTCAGATGGCACTGAACACAAGCAATATGTAAATCAGTCTGAGGGAATTACATCGGCTGGTATAATCCCTGTAATCTACTGCCCGTTTTGCTCATTAATGACAGTGAGAACGAGGCGTTTACCTTCCTGTGAAGCCAGTCTTCCAGAGAGCCATTGGGCATGAAAACATAGAGTAAACAGTGTGTCCCTCCTCCCACACAATATCCCGCAAAATCCACAATGTTAGGATGCCGGTATCTGTAGGCAGAAATGCATAAACGAATAAAACAACACTCGACCTACAGCACAGGGCTTGGAGCACAAGGACATTTTTCATTTACCTCATAAATAAATGGACTCAATCAACCAATTAGTAAATAATGTACACTGCACCACACAAAAGCAAATCACTGTGGTCTTTAACACTACAAATACAGGTCAACTGGTACCAGAAAACATTTTTTGCTCAATAAATGGTACAGTATTTGTAACACTACATATGTACTTGAGTATAAAAAATCTAAATGTTAATGGTTTTGTCTGTTGTATGCATGTGGGGGGGGGGCTCTGCTGAGTCAATGCATAATTCAAGTAAATTTGACATTGTTAAATAAGTAAAAATTCATGCAATATGAACATCCACTGGACACTTCTGGTCCAACATAAAGATTTAACACAGCTGTAGGATACATATCGCCAGCCTTGTATTTAGCTCTAAAACATAGACTGTTTAAAGGCCAGGGTCCATCTACCCATCCTTCAGTTGTCCTGGACAGGATCAGAGGGGCCCAAAGCCTCTCGCAGGCAGGGATTAATTACACAACTTCTCATTTTATTAATGACTAAAGTTCCTACTGGATTCCTGTGTTTAGCTTTCTGATGTTAGGTTCTGACTGTGTTTGAACATAAGAACAACATAAATTTACAAACGAGAGGAGGCCATTCGGCCCATCAAGCTCGTTTGGGGAGAACTTAACCAATAGCTCAGAGTTGTTCTAATCTTATCTAGCTCTGATTTAAAGGAACCCAGGGTTTTAGCTTGTACTACATTAATAGGAAGACGATTCCATACTCTAACTACACGCTGTGTAAAGAAGTGTTTTCTCAAATCCATTTAAAAATGTTCTACTGCTAATTTCCACCTATGGCCACGAGTTCTAGTATTTAAACTAAATACTGAAGTAGCCATTAACAGTCAGACCTGTTAAAATCTTATATACTTGGATCATGTCCCCCCCCTTAGTCTTCTTTGCTTAGATCTCGTTCCCATAACTATGTTACACGTTTGTCTAGTCACTCATTGGAAGCTCAGCATAGTACCACTTGCGTCAGATGTGGCTCCTTCCCAGCTGTGTCCTTGTGATGCATTATCTGCCTCACTGGTATGTAGCTTTGGACAAAGGCATCTGATAAATAAATTAATGTAAATTAATTTGTTTTTTTTTTAAAGAGTACTACTTCGTTAAGTTCCACAGTTCCATTGTGGCACAGATTATGATGTTAAATGGAAAGAGGCATTTTCAACGAGCATCATTCCAGCCGCTCGACATTACAAATATATTATTGTTGTTGCTGCTGCTAAAAAATACCATCAGCTACAAAGTAAGGTATCGTTTTGAAACAGTTTGTTTTCAGCAGCAGATTTAGTGATATTTAAACTTGCATCACACCCATGGTGTTCGTATCTGTGCCCTTTGCTTCTTAAGATAGCCTCCATGCTCAGCGGATGGATGAACAGATGAATGGTTCATGAAATTAGCAAAGTTAGGTATTATTGTTATGGACGATGACATGAATATTGGTTACATTTTAATTGATGCATTTAACTACATTGCCAATAGCAGAGTAAAGAATCAAAATACTGAAACTAACCACTACAGACTTTTTGATATGGTGATGTACACCATATCACATCTAAAGAACGTATAAAAATTAAACTGAAAAAAGCACTAAATATAGCAACAACCAAGAACAACTAATGCGCAAAACACGATACACTCCACTGATCCAAAGTTACGGAGAATATGAGGACAGACAATAGCTATAATATTTGAATGGTGGGCATTCTCATATATTTTACCTATTAAATGGTACTGAAAGATATCCTTGAATATGACTTATCACAGAATGTGTCTTTTAATAATAATACTGCGTGTAAGAAACAGATACTTAATATATTTCTGGCAGCTAGCCACAAGATCAATTACCCATTGGTGGTATCAACAAGATTTTTTAGAGAAACCACAGCAGGAATTTACACAGTGGAGAAACTGACATACAGTACTGTGCAAAAGTCTTAGGAAGTCAAAGACAATGATGTTTAAATGATTGTGTAAAACTATATGTCTGTGAATCACCGCAACATTTTTAGCAACCATCCAATACACTAATGTATTTTTCGACTCAGTAACTAGCAGACTTTGACCAATCAATACCTTATTCAGTCATTTAATTCCATCCCATCATTCCATCCAATCAAATCAATGAATCACTCAATCAACCAACCAACCAATATCTGGAGTGTTCAACAACAATCAACAATAATAAATAAATAAATAACTATAAAAAATAAACAATAATAATAAAAATGATAATATTATCATTATTATTACAAAAGTTATCACCAATTTAGCTAAAATATTCTTATGTTTTAAATAGTGCTGGGCAACGATTAAAATCTTTAATCGTGATTAATCGCATGATTTGTCTGATTAATCGTGATTAATCGCAATGTTATGCGCAAAATTTAATAATGAATTCAAAAGTAGTGTTTTGTGCACTTTATTTTAACCCTCTGGGGTCAGCGGTCCCGCCTGACAGAAATTTCGCCAAATCATTTAAATAACACTGCGAGTTTTTGTCATATAGACATTTAAAAAACACCCTCAGAAACCTTGGACGGTCTACTTTTCAAATATATATAGGTAGAAATTGTTGCCATTTTCAGCAGTGATTCTTGTACCTGTGTCCATGGCTCAGTGTGCTAAGCCTGTCTGCCTGTAATCACAAGATCGCCAGTTCAAACCCATCCTATTTAGAATGTGAATAGTGATCTTCAGCTGAGAGCAGTCCTATACACTCCTGATGCAAGTAAGACAAAGAAAGGTGGTACAGTTTGCTTTTTTGCCTATTTAACCTATTTTAAAGAACTTTAATACTTCCAACAATGGAAGTTTTGAAAAGAAGACCGATTACAGATTTAGTCAGTGTTTTTTTCATGATTCTACATAATGATTTCAGCGAGATATAAACTGAAATACACAA